AGGGTTTAAGACGATGGAAACTACTATAAATGGGTTATATAGGAACTACTATAAGAATCCATTCCTTCATTCCTGGCTAGCCAAAGGTAAGTTGATTAATCCTCACCCCCCAAACCTGAAACCCAAAACCCGAGCCTGGTGATATCCTTTGGAATACGGCTCCGGAGGCTGCAAAATCTCAGTCATGGCGCAGCTCGGCCGCCACAATAGGGTTTAGGGTTTAGGGTTTAGGGGTAAACTTTCTCCAGGTCTATGCTTGGTGGTTGGCTGAGTTGCTGTTTCTGGGAATTTGGGGTCTAGGGCTCATGGAGAAGCCACTGACAAAGAACGCGGAAAAGTACATGGGAGCTGGAACTAGATGGAGGAAGGGATCAAGGTCTGAAGGCTTTGGGCAAACGATACATGGAAATGACTTTCTTTGCTAAAAATGTCCTGGGGCGTATGAGCTCGTAGGGGAAGGGGAGAGATTATGGAAACTGCACTTTAATGTGGGGTTAGGGGTCTGGCTTGGGGTGTCAGGTTTAGGGCTAAGGGTTTACTGTGCGGTGGATGGCTGGGTAGGGCGGATGCAGATGCACTACTGCACAGGCGCTGTCCCCAGGTCGCATGACATCTACTGATGTCGGCGTTGTAATAAAAAGCTGGGAACTGGGTCATACTTTTGAGCGTCCCCCCATGTTCTCTGAGCCCAACGGCTGTGCAAGGATTATAGTCCCCCTTCAGTAGATAGAATATGGCTGCGGGTATATTAGAATAAGATCCCCATATAACTCATCTTCTATCTTCTCAAGGGGGACTTTCGCATTCTTGGCAATTGTGAAATACATCTTTTGAAGCCGAGAAAAATCTTTTAGCCAACGCTCAGGGATGTGGTGTTAGGGGTTGATAACCTACTATATAGTTCCCCTTATAAGTATATAGAATATGGGGTATATGGGGATCTTTTAATGTTGTTGGGCAGTTCCACATTCTATCTACCCAAGGGTGATTATAATCCGGATGCCTTACGTTCCCTACTTCTTGGACTCACCGCCCCAAAAGGTCATGGCAATGGAATACGCGCTCCAGCATTAAACACATGTTTGTGTGGCAACTTGTGAGCCACAATCTAAGCCCCTAGTATCAAGGGTTATTAAGAGGGACCCCTGGAAGGAACCCCTAGTCCCAATACCATATATAACCATTATATAGGTCATATAACCAGGTAGTACCCCTATTACCCCCAATATGCTACAAGGGTCCCCATTGAGGGTCCCCCCTAAAGCTGCTAGATTGTAACCCCCCTAATAACCCCTATAGTAGTCCCGTATAAAACCCCTTCTATAACACCCTTCAAGGAGACAGGAGAACCCTTAGGGTCCACAGTTTCCCAAAATTTGGGGTACCATCTCGGGGTCCATATGAGAAGGACTAAGGTAATTTGGGGTCTATATTGGGATTCTCCTATTTTGGGAAACTACCACATTCCTACCTGCAGTAATGACTACCACTGAGGGTTAGCTTGTTCTTCCTGGGGCTAGCGAGCTCAGGTTTGCCATCACACTGCAACCTACAACTGGATCCAAACAATAAACGCAATGCAAGGATGCGACTCTTGGTAGAAGTCCATGTCTCAAAATGAACTTCGCATCTTCAACTCACGCAAGACCCTCAATCCTAAACCCTGAACCGAACCCCAAGCAACGGCCGCTGAGATTCATGTACCGTCCCATGCAAAACACTCAACTTGCTGCTGACTACGAAATCCGCAGGAATTAAAACCCGCCCTGCTTGTTCGATGGCTTTGGAATCTGCTTATACTGCTTGGCCAAGCCCGAATGTGCCCTGGACAGAACGTGATAACCACAAACATTAGGCTCTTCAGTAACAATAGGACACAGCACAAAGTCACACACTCTTCTGCTTATTCGTCTAGAATTCCAGCAGTAAGCCCTGAAAGACACCCTTACTACTCCTAAACCCGTGACTGGATTCCTCTGGCATACCATACAAACTAACATCAAACAAACAGAAGCAAGCCTTGTGTAATTCATGGGGTACCTAACCGCCCGCTGTACTATCCCCGTAGGTTCCCCCTGAGTTGAAATCATTTCAGGATAGCTAAACAGGGCGAACTAAGTACGACGGTAGGTAGGGCGGATGGCTAATATGGGAACCGATTACCCATTACTCCCAGCAGTCAGCTTCCCTCGCATCTACCCATTGATAAAAAACGTAAAAGTACTTACCTGGTATCAACTGGGGTTTCTGTACTAAGGGCTTTCCCTATGGTTTAGGTGAATATATGTCAATGGCTACTTGACACCCTTTGGGTACCTCAGTAATTACAAAACATCTCTCTGGTGTGCAGGCCTTGGGGCCATGGAGCCTCAAACCCTAAACCCTAAACCCCGTGGCCAAAGGCCTCATAAACCCTAGAATAAGAACTGGATGGGACTTTAAAGGCCCCTATGATTATCTAGGGCTAGGGTGGAGGGAACGTACACAACAATGGAGCCCTAAACCCTAAACCCTGAACAGCAAGTGCACAGCCTGAGCCTCTCCTGAAGCGCCTCCTTCGCGACGATGACTTGTCGGTCTAAGGCTTCCTGCAAGACCTTAGAGCCCAAGTATCTAAACGAAAGTACGGTTGTGGTTTGGAACTTCCTTATTCAGATTACCATAGGGCTGAGACTTGGGTCTCTTGTATTGGGGTGAAACCCTAAACTCTATATATATATATGTATATACATATATATATAGAACCCTGCACTTAGATTTGCGACTGAGAAGCGTATAGGATTGCTTCCGCGGCGCTTTCTCGCAGCCCCGCCCCCTTCCCGCTCCCAGTTCGGAAAACAAACTTGCCTCCGAACATCTGCACACTCCGCAACTTCCTCCGTGGAATCCAGAGAATCTCAGCAGAATCTTGACAAAGGTGCTTGAGCATGATCTTTCCACAAGCCTACAAACGCCAAACGACAATTTCCGGTACTCTCGAAAAGCATGCGGAGCCCCAATCCGTTCGTAGATCCTGCAACAGTCTATCATGTCCTTAGTACCCATGATTAGAGGGCCTATAAGCCCAGTTTAGGGTACGGATAGGGTCTGGGTTCCTGGGGATTCCGAATCCAGAGCATTTAGGAGCCCTGGCCATGTCAACCCTAAACACTACTTGGAGGTTCATGGGACTGAGTAACTTTATATATATCTGGGGTTATAACCCTGCTTATAATTGGGGTAACCCCTATAAGGTCATTTAAGGGGTTAATAAGTAGAGTTATAAGCCTAGTTATAAGTAGCTACTAAGTCCCATGAACCTCCAAGTAGTCCCAAAACACCCACAGGCTTGGCCGATGACATTGAGCGACAGGTGGTCCGGTGGTACCTGCGGCATCGGTCTTTCTCATAGGCACTCCCTGGGGCTCTAGGTCCTGGGAAATTTAGAACAATTTCAATTCGCAACTTAAGGCCATGTTGGTAATATCCCCTATGTAAACCCATTGGGGGTGAGGTCGGGTGAGGTCGCTTTAAGTTGCCCAGTTAGGTCTAGGGTTTAGACCTACTTCGGGCTCGAACATCCATAGATAATGCCAACATTGGGCCCTAAAGCCCATATGTCATACCAACATGTGGCCTAAAAGCCTTTGGACATTTCACCTACGTTGGGAAATTTGAAGCTCTGGGCATCGGAGAGTTTGGGAAACCAAGCTCAGTGACAGTAACAACAGATTTTGAGGAAGCAGGTAGGGTCTGGCCAGCAGGATGCTTCCGCTGGGCGCATGCCCCGCTTAAACACCAGGGTCCGGGGCCAGCTACGAACAGAAAGAAGCCCCCGTTCTAGTATGACCTGGCTTTACAAGGAACCCGGCACCCTAAACCCTAAACCCTCCCCAAAACAGGGAAAAGGGGGTCTGCTGCAGAAACCAGAATAACTAGAACTCTGGAGGCTGCCATCTTCAGACTTCAACCTGTGCTTCTGTCACCAAATAAACGAACCCTAAGGGTCCAAGGACCCAAATAATAGGGTTTAGGGCCCAAATATCATGAATACTATAGCACCCCTCCCTTGTCGGATCGCATTCCTGGCTCCAGGGGCCTGAGGCGTGAGTTCTAAATCCTCGAAAGTGGAGGGTTTAGGGTTTAGGGTTTAGGGTTTGAGCGCTCCAGGGCAACAGTACTTCCAGAAAGTTCTACGAGATTTGATGCCTGCTCCACTTACAGGCCTGTGACCTAGCCATGCCACCCAGAACTCGGATCCTGAAGCAAAACCTGTCAAAGTCCTGACAGGGAACCCGAACCTCAAGAACATATGAATACCGTCCCGGCTCATACGATTTTGCCGGACTTAGAAGCCCCCTCACTATAGGCAAAAGAGATGACAACCACAGCTTCCGTAAGCCGAGGACGGCATGGCAGTGGCGAAGCGACGACGGTGACGACGGTGACGACGACAACGACGACGACGACGACGACGACGACGAGGACGAGGACGAGGACGAGGACGAGGACGAGGACGAGGACGAGGACGAGGACGAGGACGAAGACGAGGACGA